TCGGGAACGTAAAAAGGGTCAGGTGCACCATTAGATGGGCCCGCAACAGCAGATGGTCTCACAAACACCCTGCAGCCACTTTATCCAGTCTCAGAATACCATGATTGGATACTGCAAGTTACAGTCCAACGCCAGGCCCACAGGTCTTTGAAGTTCCCAACAACTGATCCTCCTCCGAGTCGGTAGATGTCCAGCCGGGTCAGTAGTATGTACAGTGTAGGCGCTTGAGTTTAGTCTACTTGACGCCGGACTAGATGTCTACCACCATCGTGCCCGACACTACCCCAGCTGCTGTGGCAAACATCGATAGGCACTCGGCAGTACTGTGTTGCCAGTGAAAGCGGCGTGGGAGAATGGTGCGGCAGGTTTCCGGGGACGACCACCGGCGATCACATACGTTAGAAGACAAAGAGGGCTTCCTGGATCTCGCTGATCCATTCCCTCAGGTTGACTCGTTCGCACTTATGCGCGCGACATCCGTTTTCTGGAACGCAGTGGACGAATAGCAGTCCATGTCGGACCTTCTTCGACACGTTTTGCCTTCTACCAACCACGTTTTTCTGATCTAGAGCAAGACTCCCTTTTGGTGTCCTGCATAAGGTCCCACATGGGCACCAGGAGCTTCCTCCCTCTCACACACCTACATCCAACTACTATGCAGTACACACACAGCCAAGAGCGTTCCTGTACAGTATGGACTGCATGTACCACCAGCTATCCAGTCCCTGGCTTTATAATGGTGTGTCAGATATCCACTCACACTGTGTAGTGCCTGACAGCTTGGTGTGCACATCACGTTGCGCTGTCCAGACACGCCCAACCCGAACAGACAAGCCATCCAATCTCCAAATTTGAATTACCCCAATTTACGATTCATCCTACGAAACGACAAGCAGTGATCTCAGTCTAAACCTCGACTATCGCACTTTCAGCCGGCACGGGACAACAGCAGAAACCCCGGGGTCGGTCAGGGATTGCCCCTGTCCTAGGCGCTAGTTCCCAATGCCCTTGTCTTCCCCAGACTTTCCAAGCCTAAGCAGCCGCCCAAGGCGTCCGTTGTTGGCAATGATGGACGGTGTCCCCAGAGCCAGCCACCAGCGTGTGGTGTGTGCCGACTCATCCAGCGACTGGCCGAATTCTCAGAGGACAGTAATTCCGATTCCCTGTTCTTCGTTTGATTAAAGCCTCGCCTTCGGGCTATCTAAAACCACGACTCTCATAACGTTCGGCACTCTAGGGTGACTAGGGCCCCTCTGTCGGGTGTGAACATCCTCAGGCATTCATGATCATGCGTTGAAGCATGTCACTTGACGACATCGCCATGACGTCCTTCGAAGTTCCTATTAGCTTCTCATATACCATGTTAGGAACATCAAAACGCCGGTCAGCCTAATGCCTCTTTAGTCAGTGATTACGGAGATCTAGCAGGTGCTATCTCGTCACGCTTGAATCCCATCTAGCCGTAGTAATTTCTCCGTCTCAAGTTGCACTGTCCGGTGACACTTCATTTTCTGTGGATCAACGCCGAGGCCCAGTATTTCTTATGCCCACTGAGACCGAGACTGTCGTGTCTCGGTTTCCTCTTGACGTCCCATACACAAAGCTTCCAACATACGGCCATGTGGTGTTCTGAAGCCACAAACTGGAGCCTCCGTAATTAAAGATTTGATCGCGAGTTTCAACAGGCTATAAACCCCCACTGTCCCGCCCACCCTTGCCTGTCTCCCGGTGATAGCAGAATCTCATCTGTGTCTAAAGCCGTACCACTACCGTCATCGGCCTGTCACAGAAGACAGCCAGAATTGTACAGTAGCGAGCAATTAGACCAACCACCGATCGGTGCTATGGGCCAAAATTAATAGACAAGCAGGCCGAGGCGGGTCCGCTAGATCAAGTTCAGATATTGACGCGATAGTCTTAGGCAAAAGCAGCAGGCGCAAACGACGAGGATTGGGCCGCTGTCCACTGCGCAATCCATACAGCACAGTTCTCATCATTGGTTATGCTATTGGCTCAGTATCTTTTGCAAAATACCTACTCTTTCGATCTCCGTTCCTGCTTCTCGAGCCCGCAATATCGACCCGTGTTCCACCTGCAAGTCATCTGGCTCTGCTGGGGAACGTAGACTCTTGTGGCAGACATGCATACCTTCTTTTAGAGGCTGTAATATCACGGAAGGTAGTGGGAAAGGTCAAATAAAGTGACAAATATGGGTGCAATCTGATTGTGATCAATGCCTGCATTGTCGTCCCGCTATTCAAGTCCAGATTGGCAAGCCGAACGGTTTTCCAATGCCTTTAGTACGGCGGGTATAGTGTTTTTTGGTGAACATCTAGGACACCTAGAGAGGTGCACCTGTCATTTGTCAAAGCTGTCTTCATTTCAAATTGACTTCAAACACTCTTGAGCCACCTTTCGCGAGAGCCGGAAGTAGCCCTCTAGTCACAATTGCGCATGCATATGATTTCATGATATCGACAAGAACCACCTATGAGCCACACAAGACGGATAAAGTCTGAACCCGATCAATTCACTTGCAGGATGGATCGCATCGCCACCTCTCACCTCAATTGACCCAATTGGCTTCAGATCTCCATGGACCACCGGGCTTCTGTTGCAGGAGCGAACCTTGCCCGCCACCGTCCACACAATGCCCATGTAGGGTTGGGGTGGGTTGCCGACCCATGAAGAAAGCTGCTGCAGCCTGTCGCACGATGTCTGCAAAGGTGAGCAGTAAAAGCGCCACAGAATGCCACATTACCATGTCCGCGCCATTCCCATCAGTCAAACCCGTCGGGATGATCATACCTCATCTCGCTAAATTTGACGTTTCGGTGCGAGGGTATACCGATGTCCTCGACTCGCCGATAAGTATCGAGAGTCATCAAAAGCTTCTGATCTCAGATCACAATGAATTATTTGCTCTCAGAGCGAGCTTGCAAACAAGTCCAGGTTTCTTCGTTGTGATCTCTTGCTAGTCAGCCGGTACTCAAGATCTTCATATTAGCGAGTCCTCGATTCCTTCTTACCGCGCCAAGTTGAGGATTGAACAACGGCTAGATGGAGAGGGAGTAGCCAACCGTCATTCAACATGCATTTGAGCCAACCCGTGACAGTCTCAAATCCCCACACACATTCTCAACCACAAATATCCTGCTCTACGTCATAGCTAACTTGCTCCCCTACCATCTATCACTATCTTGAACTTCTACGCCGGCGCTACTGCAGCGAGAAGCCTAGGAGGCAGAACGGTGCTCGGAAAAGGTGCCAGGAAGAATGAAAGGCTCATGCAAGGCTTCCCAATGATTGAGGCTCCCAGCTGTAATCATTCGTGCACGATGAATGTATCAACCCACCGTTAGCAACGCCTGCGTTTTGGCTTAACGTAGCTTCCCTCGCGACGATCAGCGGCGAGGTTTTTATAGATTATCCTGTATTGCACAGGTACACTAGTACGCACGCTATGTCCTCGAGCATGCCGACCACGCTGTAGGTTGAATTGACCCTGCAAGCGCAGGCCCTGCCTGTCTGAACCCTGACGAGCAGATCTACAAGCAGCCGCTTGTTGATCTTCGCTATTCTGCGGTCGGCACATCATTAGCACCCCGGCCAGCATCTGGGCGATTGTCGTCCCCACGTCGGTACTAATCGGGAGACTTTGCGGTTTCTATTTGAGCGGCAGATCGTCCGAATACCGCAAAGTAAGAGACCATGACGGCGGTGGTGGCAATCCCGTACGCCACACTCGAAGGAAATACTCTTGCCTTCTGAAAAATTCTTTTCAATTGGGAAGTGGGAAAATCCTCTTAATCCTACATCATTTTACGTATGCACGGCAGCTTCGGACGGCAATTAGCCCTCAATCGTACACCCCACCGCTTTGTAGTAGTCTTTATTCTGCCAGAAGGTTGGGCTTGCCTCAACCATACTCTCTGGTCTCTGATTAACCCAAAATGAACTCTACTGGCTTTCGAATCAGAGACTTATTCAACTTCAGTTGGTAGAAAATGGGATAATCCCTACCTGGCTTAGTTCTCGTTCAAGTCAGCTTGTAGTAGCTCTTCTACCCGATATATGATGTAAAAAATAACGTGCCTATACGGTCTGATATTGCTTGAGATGCGAAATAATCATGCAACTGTTTACACAAGTCCAACATAGTCCAAAAATTCGCTTTTGATAGGAATAATGCGAAATATCAAAGTACATAAGATAGAGAGTCTCGTCGCATATCAACGTTAGCTTTCGTCTACAAACTTGGACTTGCAAAGTTGAAATGTGAGAACCATCCGTAAAGTCTATGACACAACCAGGGCTTGCATGAATCGGACTAGACCGAAGCTGTATTCTGACAGTCGTAAGACTAAAAGGCGAAGGTCAACTTGATGAATTGCCGATCAAAGTCATTCTCAGCTTGTTTGAGAGTTGTGATTCTTTCCACTTCAGCAAATTAATGTGTAAACCCTAACAGTATATGAGTTGCAGCAGTATGCTATTCTCGCAGCATTATTTCAGACATATTTTCCCCGTTGTCCATCGAACAGGATGTTGCTTTCGAAATAATCTATTAACGACTGTTCGTAAGGTCATCTGAACGTGTATTTAATTCATAGAATCGGTCAGGATTGAGGTTTTGGATTGCATTCCTTTTCCCATTGAATACTGAGAAGCTGTATATTCGTTGTTGGTACAATTTGTGATAATGAAAAATGTAAATATATATATATCCTACTTAAATTTGATATTTGAAAGTTGACATCTACCGCACACAGGGTATAACAGAGGATCTCACAATATCATGATTACCGGACGGTATTCGTAAATATATAAATATATTCTCGACAAACAGAATAGTTGCTTTATAGACACCTCTCACTCCTCCATTGCTCGGTGAAAATGATATATTCGGACACTAAGCTACTTTTTCTTTTCCAATCTGTTCCTCAAATTCACATCTGCGGTCGAGCCTGTCGGGTTCTGATGATAATCTAGATCAGGGCCTAATTAAGCTCATGTGCTAACTTGACGGCCTCTGACTTGCCAGTATCCAGAACAACAGCCGGATCCTCTGCTGTTCCATTTTTTGACACCTCGTTACCGCGTTTCGTCGTGATGCTTGTCCTGTAAGAATTGAGAAATAAGCTTATGTGTTCATGCTGAGTTGTCAGGTCTGCGTACTTCTCTTCCTTGACATCAACGACTTTGCCTTCAGGCTGGCCAGATCCCCAGTTCCAACTGACTGTGTCGCCCTTGGAAGGGCCATTGTGAGGTTCTTTGCTTTCCCCGTTTGCTTGACCATTTGTCTTCTTGCCAGCGTCATCACCATTCTCCTCCTCATCGGCCTCCTCACTGTCATCTTCTTTGCTGCTCTTTTTCGATTCGCCCTTGTGAGTTTCTCTTTTCTTGCTTGGCACTTCCTGATCGTCAGCTTGCTTGCGCTTACTCCCAACATTCTCTTCGTCCTCTTCATTGGCTTCTTCGACATCGTCCTCGCCTTCTTCCGCAGCCTCATCCTTCCTTTTCGAAGATTTAGGGGTGTCGCTCTCTTTATCTACACCTTTGCCTTGGGCTTTGAGGAAATCGTGGCCCCAGTTTTTCAACGAAGCCTGCAGAAATTGTTCAGCAAGCATTCACTGAAACGTTATACTAATATCTACTTACATAGGACTTAGTCTTCTTGACTTCCTCCTCAGATTTGTCATTGTTACCCGCTGTTTCCTGGGCGAGATGGCGTTTGCTGCGAACAAGTATCAGTCAGTTCACAATCGCATCTCTAGATTAGTACCTAGAGATAGGAATACATACCAGTATGCAACAACTTTGCGCATGTGCTCTACCTGGTCGTCGGTGTATTTCTCTGAATCTTTCTTAGGATTGGATTTTAAGATCTCAACGATCTTGCGACCGCTTTCGTGCCCAACTGACTCGCCATCACCATCGCCGCCAGATTTGGGCCATCCAGCACTGTTCGAATCGTCCGACTTGAGCCAAGACTCGAGCTCAGAAGCCGTCATATTGACGAGCTCATTGAAGTCAGAGATGACATCCTGCTTCTCCTTCATTTTAGAATTATATGACGCTCGGGCGTGTGGTGTTGAGACACTTAGATGTACTGTAAGGAACACAATGCGACAGCAAAGCGAAATGAACGGCACCCATTTCTTTGCGGAGGTTTTCTTCTCTAAATATACTGGACAAAACATTCCTTTTCCGCATTCAGCTCTATGACCTAGCTTTCAGCTCCAGTTTAGCGCCATCTTGAAGGTTTCAGTGGGAATGTGGTGTCGTCATACAAATAGACTTCACCCCTCGCAGATTTAGTGGCTGGGATCGAGCCGTGTCTCACCTCTAAAATCGAGCCCTGAATTCGAGACAAGGATGATAGTCGTTAGAGCCCAAACTCAGATGATGCCGATTGACCGAAAGACCGATTTAACGGAGCTGAACAACCGCAACCATACTACGCTGAGTTCGCGAACGGCAAAGACTGTCATCATACTATAGCTATACCATTGGATGAGACATGCCAACCGAGACTTCTGCTCGTTCAAGTATCGTCACGTATGTTGCGTGAGAAGGCTGGGACATCGAAATCCATGTTGAACTCTAGAGTTCAGTCTCCAAAATTGTAGGCTAGACGTCGAGCAACCAGGCCGAAATTTGGGGGTTATATGGGGAAAGGAATAGAATGTGTCCAATGGTAACTTAAATATCGTATTGTCAATCGTGCCTGCATCTATGGGGCTGGCCTGCCAAGCTGGACTAAATGTTGTTTTCAAATCGTAAATGTTGTTTTCATAGAGCTGACTTTCGATTTCAAACCAACACTCAAATAATTGTTAACTAGCAAAGTAATATTCTGCCAGTGTTAAGACGATGCGGGCCAGAACCAATCCAACCTCGCATATGAGTAATTTCACTGGTCACAACAAGATCATCAGAATTTCCCATAGCCGCAACTGTGAGACTTGCCAAGGCATGAGTATTCGTGACTACGAGAAGGGTCTGTAGAACGCGGAGAGGCATATGCTGTCAAAGGTAGTCTTTTCGCCTGGCCGCTTTCTAGTGGATACTCGGTCTATAATCCAATGAGCCCATGGTTATAGTCAACAGAAAATGCTTATGTTGTAGTCAAGCAAAAAACCTATCGATTGCAGGTCAACAGAATAGCGGCATGCCTCGCCGAACATCCTCACGGAACAAGTGATTCTGAAAGGTTTATCTGAGGCGTACATGCTTCTTGACAGTGCGTACATTGTTCATAGCACTTTGAGACCATCTCTAGAAACGATTTCGTAAAAATGACGTCCCGCGTGATAGGAGAAGCCCAAATAATCATCCATCTGGGTCCCACTTGCGTCAGGTACGCGCACCTGATCTAACACTACCATCGCGCTAAATCAAGTTTCGAGTGACGCTGATCGTTTGTAGACGTTCTGTCACAAAGGATCTCAAACTTTTTGACTTGATGATTCAAATATCCTTTCATTGAGCAATTTCATTTTATTGTCATGTCAACCCAGTGTCTAATGGTCTGTTAACCCAATTTGCGAGATTTTTTCTTTCTTTCTCTCTCTTTTTTTTTTGTTTTGGTAAAGATGACGAATTTCATCGACAGGGGTAAAACCGCTTCTGCTTGCAGGGGGAAGATCTACAGGGACGAAGATCGCCAAGCATCTCATTAAGATGCCAGACGGGCGCCCCTTATACCAGCATCAGATCGATCTACTGTCTAGGGCTTGTCCAGAAGCAACTTCCATTACATATCCCTCACGAAAGATGCCCAGATTGATCCGTTCCTTCGAGACGTCGCTAAGCCCGACTTCACGGCTCAACAAGCACCACCAGTTGCAGTAATATACGACTCGGAGACGTCGAAGAATAGAGAATTTGATGCGGCTGCATCAGGTCTTTTGGCTGCTCACAAGGCACATCCGCAAGCTACATGGTTTGTCATTAGTTGCGAATACCCGCTTCTCAACATGGAGATGCTGAAGCAGTTGCGCTCGGCTTATAAGCCTCCCGTGACTTGTTTCCGCGATCAAGATGGCGTGTGTCAGCCACTCCTTGGAATATGGAGCCCGGAAAGCCTATCTCGGCTAGCGGAGCATTCAAAGAAAGGGGTCAGCGGTGCCGCATCAATTGTTGAAGACTTAAGTGGCAATGTCCTCGAACCTCCGGACAACGCTGAAAGGCTACTGTTCCAGATTAGCAGTGAGCCAGATTGCTCCAGAGAGTACCCAATATAATCCAGCAATAATGCATGTTATAAATGTATGCGTAGAGAGCCTGCTCAAGCATATGATAGATCTTATCCTAAGCAATATAACGCAATAGCCCGAACATATTTGATTCCCTGATGCATTGAGAAGCATACAAAGAATCTCGATGTTTCAATATTTCTCTGGACTATCGTCATTTGTGAGAAACTTGAAGTCGGGCACGGTCAGCTCAGCGAGCTGGTGCAAGGCTCCTTGGTAAAAGGCTTCGCCTTGCATGACAAGGATCAAGTATCGTGCGTAGCTTCTATATCTTGATGTCGTCGAAAGAGATATGCCCGCCATTTCACATTCTCTTGCTTGTTCTCCTCTGTAGAGTATGAACTAGCATCAGAAATCGAGTGCAGGCTACACGGGCTCCTCGGCTCTTCACATTTTCCGCAGATTGTCATCTTGTCTCGTTCGAGCTGGACGAAGAGACGGTATAAGATGCTGATCACTCTTGGAAAGGTGGACATGCAAAATGGGAATAGGAACAAGCATCAGCAGAGATTTTGAGACATACGACACTGTGGGACAAAGACTGATAATATTCGGTTTTACGCCTGCTAGCATTTCAGATTTGGACTGCAGTTTGCCGCAAGACAGAGCACAACCCGAAACAAACGAATTTCCAGAGCGGAGCAACGGGTCGGTGCAGCAGTATCACGTGTAATTTGACGGCTGTAGGTTTTTGAGTTCGGCCTGAGGCAGACAGTGAACAGATTTCCAGCTTGCCTCGAGTCATTCGGATTCTTTCAATCCACGGCGGACGTCCGTCCGGTTTGCCAAGCACCATTCCAGGAGGCCACGATACGGTACTAACTCGAGTCGAGTGCTTTTGTATTGTATTGAAATGAATAGGACTGAATTCGCGGGACTTTATGTGAAAATCGATGCATTCTCCCACAGCATTGGCTGAGGTAGTCGGAAGTCTGTCCCGGGGGCTGCGCCCAACCAGACGCGCGTATCGCGTAACCCGATACGACGCCCATTACCGAGAATCGCTTGAAAGTTGAAACTAGTGAAAGAGGGGCGGCAGGGCCAGCCCAGATGAGGGTGAAAAATGAAAGAGGACCTGCCAAGAACAGACATGCAGGCAATACACGTATTCTGGGCTCTTTTCTTCCATGTTTTATCTTGACCCGCATGCCCATCATGCCTACCTAGTGAATGAATGCCCACTTAAAAGACGGGTACCAACTTACCCAGAGATGCTGATGTAGAAATGATGTCAGCCAGCCCGAGGATCCTGAGCCTAGGCCCCGGCCTCGTGTGCAACGTTGGAGGCTACTGAAGACACTTGTCATGGTAGCTTGAGGTTTTCTGGCGCACACGCTCAGGGGTTCTACGCGGCGCTGCGCCCCGATGCCCAGGCGAGCCAGGCTTGGCCTACCCCCGACGATTGACCTGCCTCTTCGGCTGCGACTCGCCTCTCTGGCGTCTCTCTGTGGTGTGTCCGCCCGCACAGTCAGTCTCGCGAGCAGAGCGCCGCTTTTGCTAGCAGGGATGGGCAAATTGCGGCCGCTTCTGCTTGTCGTTGGTAGGCGAGAAGAAGAGAACGAAAGGGGCAAGAACCGCGAGTACCTGCTTTGGTCATTGAGATACGCGTACGGGGGCGGTACCTCTTCTTGGGAGGTAGGCAGGTAGCTCTCGTCAGTCGGTCGTCATGTCGCCCAGCCCAGCGCAGCCCAGAGCAAGAGTGAATTGCGAGCTGGAAGATCCCGTCGGTGGTTCTCATGCCGTTCGTCGTATCCTGTCCTGATTTGCGCTTGCTCTCTCTGTGCGTGTATGTGTCCTGTCGTGGCAGGCCCCTTGTATATACTGTTCTGTCTCGTTCGTATCCTCCTCGTCCATCCCAGGCCGTGCATGTGCGCTTCTAGACTTTTGTGTCTTCAGACTCCGTTCGTTTGATCAGCTGTATTTTGCTGCTTCCTCCACAATAAAATCGTCCCAATTCTCTGCGCTCTTCTCGCCTTGACGAAATCGAAGTGCCGCTTTCTGCTTGGTTTAATTTGGTCCTCCTTCAGTTAAACAGCCAGGCGCGATTGAGAGTTGGCTAGCAGCTTCTTCTTGCTTCAACCCCAAAGCAGCAGGTGCGAGATAGGCTCGACTTTCTTCAATTCTGTCCTGACCTCCCTGTTTCTTGACCCATCCTCGTCGGCCGGCCTGACCATATCGACCTCTTCATTAACACAGCGACGTCGGGCTTCTGCTTGAGGAGACGCCGGTCAAATATACCGCATCGCACCTCACTCTCCCCGGTCGCAACCCCCGCGTGCGAAACACCGCCAAATTCTTTGCCAGACATGGATCGCGATCAGATCCTGACGCCGCGAGCTGTCGAGGGCATGATTGCCCAAGGCGGCATCATTGTCATCTTTGAGGATTATGTCCTGCGACTCGACTCATGGCTCGAGAAACATCCCGGCGGTCGGCTGGCAATCTTGCACATGGTCGGCAAGGACGCCACCGACGAAATCAGCGTGTAAATTGACTCCCAACATTTTCTTCAATGCTCCTCCCTCCCTTTGCTTCTTTTCCTATGCCCTTGACCCTTTGGCCTTTTTCCATGCGTGCCCCCCCACATCATCCATCTACCAGAATGAGAGACAGAGAGACGCAAGAGAGATAGCGGGGGTGGAGCCAACATCACGGTAAAGTGAAGCCCCGAGAAAAAAAGAAGAGGAGAAAAAAAAGGGTAAGAAAGAGGATGAGAAGACTGCGAAGAAAGAGCCTCACGACGACGACGGGAGATCAGCGATTGAAATAAGCATTAACTCCGCGAATGGAGGAGGCGTGCAGTTGCTTTTATTAACGGTTATGGATGCATGTTACTGAGCACCACACACATTTGTCATCAAGGTACTTCTTAACAGCGCATGCTAATGCGCATCCTCCAGGTACCATCCGCCTGCCACTCTCAAGACAATGAAAGCCTACCGGATAGGCCGGAAGCCAACGGGACCCTGGCTCAGCATGACACCACCAATTAGAGGAGGCATCTACCGTCCATTGGGCACATCAACAAGCTCACCTGCATCGAGCACACTGCTAGACGACAGCCTGGACCAGGACCTGGACCTGAATGCCGATGCCGAGGAGGTTGCTCCAGTGCCAGTGCCGGCAGCTCCCAACCAACACCACCCCGGCCCCGGCATCTCTTCCGCATGCATTACCCTGAATGGTGAGGAGGACGAGGGTCTTCTCCTCTGCACCCCACAGGCCCTTCCGGCTCTTCGGAGGCGCATCACCAGCACCAACTCCCCCGGGCGGAGCGACGCCGGCCCCGCTGCCGGCCGCCCCGGACAGGACCTCTGCTCTAAGCTGCTCAACGTCGCCGACGACACTGACCGCTATGGTAGCGACAGCGGCTATGACACCGCGAGCAGGCGAGACGAGGAAGAGGAGCCCGATTCCGAAGCAGTGACAGTAGCAGAAGGAAGCGAGACCACTGACAGCGTGCCCACCAAGTGTCCCATTGAATACACTGATTGGGCGATCCAACAAGGAGTCTACCACGATCTTCGAGACTTCCCATCGCTGGCTCCCGCTGTTCAGCAGGACATTGTCCACAAGTATAGACTACTTCATCGGCAAATCCAGGACGAAGGCCTTTACGACTGCAGATATATAGAGTACGGTAAAGAAATGGTGCGATACCTCAGTCTGTTCGCCGTTTTCCTCTTCGCCATCTACCACGCCTGGTATCTTACCGGCGCCGTCTTTCTCGGCTTATTCTGGGTTTGTTCTTCCTAGTCCCCTCCTCCCCATGCTCCGAAACAGCGGCTGACCTGCCCAATTAGCATCAAATTATGTTTACCGCACACGACGCTGGGCATCATGCCATAACCCACAACGGAACTATGGATAGCCTCATCGGCATGTTCATTGCCGACTTCTGCTGTGGCCTGTCCATCGGATGGTGGAAGAGCAGCCACAATGTTCACCATCTCGTCACCAACCAGCCGGTTCGTCTTTGCCACTTGTATCTTACACCATCTACTCTCTCAGTCGCGCTAACATTCTACTCAGGAGCATGACCCGGATATCCAGAACATCCCTCTATTCGCCACCTGCCCGTCTTTCTTCAAGTCCATCCATTCCACCTACTATGACTTCTCATTTGTCTGGGACAGCGTTGCCAACTTTCTGGTTCCGTATCAGCAATACACCTACTACCCGATAATGGGCATTGCGCGCTTCAATCTCTACCTCCTCTCGTGGCTTCACGTGCTATCCTCCAAGTCATCCTCACTTGGAAAAAGCAAGGCATACTGGATCCGACCTACCGAGATCGCTTTCATGAGCTGCTATTGGGCAATATTTGGTTACGGCCTGCTCTGGTGCACGCTTCCGACATGGACCATACGGGTTGCTTTCGTGCTGGTGTCACACATCATCACCATGCCCCTGCACGTCCAGATCACCTTATCGCATTGGGGTATGTCAACCTCGGATCTCGGCGAGGCAGAGTCCTTCCCTCAGCGACAACTGCGGACTACCATGGATGTCGACTGCCCCGCGTGGCTTGACTTCATCCACGGCGGATTACAGTTCCAGACCGCGCATCACATGTTCCCGCGAGTTCCGCGACATAACTTGCGGAGGGCACAGGCGCTGTGTATGCAGTTTTCCAAGGACACCGGTATTCCATATTCGATCATGGGGTTCGTGGATGGCAATCGCAAGGTCATGGGCCGCCTGGGACAGATAGGCGAACAGGTTCGCATTCTGATCAGTTGCCAGAAGTACATGGCCGAGACGGGAGAGAGTGGACTGCATTAGAATAGACATTTCCTGAGCCTCGGAGGCCTTGTACATTTTTCTTTTGTTTTAATAGACAAACCTACATGCCTAGATTTTTGCATTAAGAAATCAAACGACATACCAATACAATTCCCTGAAGTTGGAGACCTCGCGTTAGAAATTATAATCGCTTAACGCAACTTAACGTGGAAAGTTGTTTTTATTTTTTTTCTTTTCCTTCTTGCATGGCATTATTCCTATTTTGCATATTTGCAACCCGCCTCAAGTGTACTGCCACGCAGCTATCGTTCCTGTAGGCAGCTCATGAATAGCTAAATTGACACTGGTGCAACTCGTCAAGCGGTTCATGTTTGTCTCGTTCTTAGCCACTAGGTTCCAAGCATCTCCGCCACCTCCGGATGCCATAGGAGGGCACGCAACCCAGCCTAATGCTCCATCGTTCAAGTTGATCAGCCCACCTCCCCGGAATGCCTTAAGACCTCCAACAACGCTTCCAGATGGGATGTAAGCCGAGTGAGCCTGCGTATAGGCGACATTCCAATATGGATCAAGATAGACTTGCTGGCCCCCGGGGACTTCCACATCCATTGCACCGGGTGTCACCATGGCAGTGTAGTTGCCGGGTGGGCAAGCTGACCCTACGACATCGGGACAATAGGAACAAGTCGGACCACCAATTTGCCAGTGAAGATTGCAAGCGTTTACCGAGTTTCCATTGATTATGGCAAGTGTTGGATTAGATACGGTTAGAGTGAATGCAGTGCCGTCCGGTAGTTCAGGAAGAAGTGCAAGGGCATTCCCCGTGCAGGTGTACATGAATTTGCTGTAACATGCCCCATTGCAGTACTTCAATGGCTCTCCGTTAATGACAGGGCAAAGAAAATTGCCATTATAGCACACATACTATTAGACATGTCAAATTCGTAAGTTTCAGAAGGAAGTTAAAACAGCATCATACCTGGGTGGGATCGTATTGAGCATTCCCGCAATTCTCTAGTTCAGCAAGAACTGCCCAATCTAGGGTCAGTAGCAATAGGAGCAGTAAGTTGTGTAGCATTTTGAATGAATCAACAATATCTTTCACTTGGCCACGGGTCGTTAACTGTTGACTGCATGTACGGGAGGGGCTGCGCTGCCATGATTATATATTACCTCGCTTTCTCCCTCCTGGTGTCCAATGCGTTCATCTTTCCTGAGACGTCCAGCAGAATTCCAATGCTTGCTATGACACCAAATACCGAAACCTCGTATTTTGTGAACTTGTGACCATCGTCGGACTTGAGTCTCTCCGCTTATTGGAATTCACTTGCTATGAAATGATTGGCTCAATGTAGACTTTTACCAGCGCCCCTAGGATGTAGCAGGCTCTAAACCACGGGCTAGTGCATATCTAAGTTGTACAGTGCTACTGCAGTAGTTCATCATCTTGCCGTCACCCTATCAGCTGGAAATTTCAAGTCGCAATTCAAAGGCGATTTGCAGATGTCGGTGTGCGGATAAGATGGATCTCTGGGGTAGCTCGTGGCCAGTCAAGCTCTGACTTAACAGTGCATGATATCGTCTATATTAAGGTCTCGACCTCTTATTCGCAATAGTAGGGTTCTGGGATGGGCCGAGTATAGTCGTCTACAGTCTACACTATACTTGGTCTCACAATACGAGGGATGCATTTAGCAGCTGGGAAAGAACGGCGAAAGAACCTCACATATAGCAAACGTTGAATTTATCTTAACCATCAGTTCCAATCATGCCAGCCGTGACTGTGAAACTAACCCAATGAAATCCATTTAATACACCTTGGCGCATCGCTCCATACAAAAAGCTACCACGTTCATGCCTCTTTCTTCTCGTCGCCGAAAGCGTCGCGCCCATCAGCAAAGACCTGATCAAATTGATCTTCGAACCATCTTATATCTGGACAGAGGCCGGCAAACTTCCACTCTCCATCGACCTTGCGATACCAATGCTTGTTATAGGAGTAGGCATGTCCTTTGACCCTAACCTCCGTCATTGTAGCATCTGTGTACACTTGATGGGGTACTCTAAGTTGATGGTGACCTATGACCTCGGTGTCCGAGACCTTCTCCCACCTTGTGCCACCAATGAAATGCTGAGTCTTGAGAAGCGGGTTCCCAAGGACCGACTTGTCGGAGATCATAGCAATGAACTCTTCGGCAGGCATAGCTTCCCAAATTTTGTCGAGGAAGGATCTGTAGTCAATCTATAGTCCACGGGTAAGCGGGTATCTGATAGAAGTTGGTGCCGAAACTTGACTGACCCGTAATGTCGGAGCAATACATTTCTCCAGACGCTTCCAGTCTTTAGAATCATAGCTATCCGCCCACTCAAATGCCGCAGCTGTGAGGCCAAGATAATCTGAACAAGCACATATCAGTTTCCTTATCCCATCGTAAAAAGAGCTGCGATCGATGAGCTAAGATCTCTCACCTTGGAATGTGATCTGCTCTGTCACTGGCAAAGACCCCATCGTTGCAGTTGCAGGTGTCTATTCACGAGGATAATGATAGACGCGGTTCGGTTTCAAGTGCAAGGGAAAGACCTAGGAGACTGAAGGCACGATGATTGCAGAAATTACCAGGTGGTAATGTATTTATTATATGAAATTAGTCGCAAAGGGATAGTAGCCGGGCGCTCCCCAATGAACGCCGGCCCCGGACCTCCGGACGTGGTGGGGAATTGCGGCCACCACGCATCTCGGCTCAAGTCGCACGATTTGATTTGAACCCCTGCTTGGCAAGGTTGCAGTGCCGATTCCGTGGAACTGGTCTAGGGAAATGCTAGGGTGAACAACTGAACACTATATGCGGGCAAGGATTTGCCCATTTTCCTAACGTGGAATATCGTCCAAGGCTCTTAGGAATTGAACCTTGTCAGCACCAATCACACAGCAAGACGTCAAGGGAAGCTAATAGCCAGGCACCGGAGGAGACTACACAACGCCAACCGAAACACCCATAAGGGCTATCAACACTTGCCAACACTGTTCAGTACTTACACTCACAGACGAGTGCTAGCATATGAAATAATGTTTTCGAATATCTTGATATTTGGAAGCAGAAACATCAAGACGAGTTATAATAGTAGGAAATGTGAAAGGCTGGTGGTATGGGGGTATTCGGATTAAATAATCATTTGTCAATAATCTAGTGTAAGATTTTCAAGGCAATTTTGAAGATGCAACGATAATTCAAGCCCTGTCAAGCCCCTTTGAGTTTAAGAAACGTGTCATTCTGTGTTATGACGGGCCTAATCTACCTTGCATTGTACACGAATGACCAAAACACACGTATTTGTCCGTCATTGCTGACTTCTCGTTGCCCTTGTCTAGGAACCCATTTGTCGATCAAATAACTCGCCCCAAGACCTAGCTATGTCAGCGATTTTCGAGCAAACGGCTTTTCGAGCATCTTCTCGTGCCATTCCTTGACGAAGAAGCTTGTCATAAACCGTGTGTTGGTGACGGATGTGTGCTCGTACTGCAAGTCTTACCTTCTTTGCAATTCCCAAAGTTCCAGTCCGTCCAACCCTCCCACTGTGCTTTTTCAGGACACGATTAACGGTTTGAGCGGTCTCCGTGGATGGACTACGCGAGAAAACCTTGATCATGGCGCGGGGAAATTTGGATGCAATTGCGGCGTCTCGCTTCTGCACATTCCTGGCTCTCCGAATTCGCGTGGCATTTTCCATGGCAGTGACTGAATCGAAGATTTGAACTGGACATCGAATTCCGAGATGCTGACTGCTGCGACCATTGACCAAATACAGTATTTTCTGAGCTTCGTGAGTGAGTTTACGACAAAGTTTTGTCACATAAGCGTTTCCTTTCGGGATAAAGCAATATTCATTAGGCATAGGGCTATTAGCCGACACAACCGGCTCTTCAGTGTTGCATCTCATCCTGGCTAGGTCAGTTGATTTTGATGAACACTTGGCTAGTTGATCAAGTATGAGCGGAACGGTTTGTCGCTTGAAATAGATCATAGGAAGCGCTCTACACCCAAACCTTGCGTGTTCTGGGCTTCGCATTGCCTAAGGTCCAACGCAAGTCCTATTTATCAATTTTGCCTTACACAGAAGACAACGGCATCGAGTTTAGTCTGTCGGCATGGGTCTAGGGCATTGTCACAGTAGAAGATAACAAAGTCACATACAAGAAGGAGAGGAAACCCCTTTATGCTAGTCGACAGCACAAGGCTTTGTTCTCTTCGCTTGCTGCGATATTGCGAGCAAGACATTATTGGCTAAGATTACGATTATGCAAATTTGCTGATTATCCTCAGGTCAGGTTCAGAGCTTTGACTTGAATCAAACATTTTGCCACTGTTATGTATGATTTTCTGACTAAGTAACCGCTAGTCACATACATCGCTCAAAGCTATAAAATTTCATTGTAGACTGACTATTCTCCACCCATCATGTTCTATCAACGTGCATTTTAGACAGGGGAACTCAAGAGAGTATCTGTCTCTATTACATCCATATATACTGATTGCATCTCATCTTGCGCATTCAATAGAGAAACAACCCCGAGATCTTTTGCCTCAACCTTGATGATGATATTTCAGAAGGCGTACTTCAACCCTGGCTTGGCAAGGCTTATAATTTTCCTCTCCGTAAATTCCTAGGGACTGTTAGAACGACCAGATCACAGACCATCAGTTGTCTCGGAGTGCGCGAAGAAATATCTCAACTCATTCGGCTAGCCATCGTGCATGAACAAGATACGTACCTCGACGCCTGCAATGCCACCGAATCTGCCATACCCACTGCTTCCACCCGTTCCACCATTAGGCAATGTAGCCTCGATGTAGACTGTTGGCCCATTTACGTGGCAACTGCCGGCTCGGACTTGACGGGCAACGTCAAGCGCACGCATCACATCTTTGCTGAAAACGCTCGCACAGAGCGAAAACTCGCTATTGTTTGCAGAGGCAATCGCCTCATCGTCTGTCTCGAACTCAAAAAGGCATAGTATAGGTCCAAAGGACTCCTTGTGGAAAACGTCCATATCCGGGGTAACATTTTCAAGGATATGCGGCGCTAAGATCGTATTGTTCGGTCCACTAATACTTAAGTCCCCAGCAAGCAGTTTCGCACCGCCATCGACGGCTTTCTTCAGCAGTTTCAAAACGCGAAGAGCTGATTGCGGAGCGTATAGTCCCGAGATAGATATCTCTGAATCCTCAATGTGGTTGCCGGTTTTTAGTGACTTAACTCGTTTGAGTAACGCCGCTTTGAAATCCCCAACAACACTTTTGTGCACAATGGCACGCTCTGTCGACATGCAGATCTGCCCGCTGTTTGAGAGGGCGCCAAATACTATTGCTTCAACAGCATCATCAATATTAGCGTCGTCGAGAACGATGACCGGCGCTTTGCCGCCTAGCTCAAGAACGCATTGCTTGAGGCATGTGGCGGCCCAACCTGCGATAATCCTGCCGACACGATCACTGCCAGTGAAGTTCACTCGCAGCACTTTTGGATGCTTCACTGCTAGCTCTGTGACGGCAGGGGCGCGCTCGGGGCTTGCAGGCAAGAAGTTCAAACAACCTGCGGGTAATCCCGCGGCCGTCAAAGCCCTTACGACTAGATGCTGTGACTTAGGGCTGAATTCCGATGGCTTCAGAATCACCGTGTTTCCGCAAATTAGGGGACACGCAATAGCTCGTGCTGTCAAATTGACCTATCAGCTGAATGAGTAACTTCTCCTCATGGCTGGCTGCAAATGGCTCCAAAGGCTCTCACCGGTGCATTCCAAGGACTGATGGCAAATACAACCCCAACTGCATGCCTTTCTACTAGAATAGTAGTACCTGGCCTGTCTGCTGGAACTATCTCTCCTTTAATGTGAGTTACTAGACCTGCGGTTTCTCTAAAGATGCCCGCGGTTGCGAGAATGTTGACTTTGATCCAGCTCTTGGTAGCTGACACCTCAGAGGACAGAATTTCTGGGGCATCAAGCGTGAGATAGCTCTCCAAGATATCGGCTGCTTTCAGAAGAATCAATCTCCTCGCCGATGGGTTAGTTCCTGACCATGTCTGATATGCCTGGTGGGCCGTATCAATAGCCGTCGAATAGTCATCCACCGTAGCTGATGAGCAGTCATAGATGACTTTGCCGGTCATAGGATTGCGTACTGGAAAGACGGCCTTGTCTGAACTAGGATGATATGTGCCGCCAATGAATAGCTCTTGAGGCTGTGCTAGTGACGATGAGCCATCTTGTCGCTGATCTGAGTCTGCGTGTGGTACCATGATATTTGTTGACTCTGGCAATGTTGCAATGCAAGTGTGAGACTATTATGACTTAGATCGATTGCATTACATCCAGAACACCAGCAACTAGCCTAAACACATGCACAATATGATCAAGGGAAATTTCAACAGGTACCTGAGGGTTTGTATCGTCAGGATTGATGAAGCTCAGTCACGGTCTATTCAGGCACACGGTGATGGACGATATTATGAACTGGACGGCATTTCTACAGGTATTCAACTCTTGTTCAATTAGTGATAATGCCAAGCGTCGGCGGCTTGTTGCGGACGGCTTACGGGCGGAGAGGGAGCATGGAGAAGAACTGTGGGGATGATTGAACCCCCGCACACCGGATCCAAGCATCCGTCATGAAGCAAGCACCGCCATCATACCTCGCTGGAGACAGCTAATCGCTAAGTACCTACTGTTTTCATATCCATTCCAAATCACCGTCGTACCGTGTCCGCGCTACTGGGGACTGACGCTAAATGTCATCTCGGGTCAGCGAGATGGCAATAGACTGATATACACTATAACAGATCAGACATTTGTGTTTGGACTGTGCCTCGAGCTCGCCCACATCCACAGTCAATCACTCCAAGCTTCATACTAGTCGTCGATTCTAGAATTGTTGCTTAGTGCGAGGAGAGCCGTCCGTGAATAGATTTGTGACAATCAAACTGAGCAACATCCCCGGAGCATCGTCATTATGGCAACCACCGAGAATGAATCGAAGAGGAGCATCACAGGCGCTTCCGCCATTTTGCATGCACTTGAAGCAGCAGGCATTACACACCTTTTTGTGAATCTGGGTTCGGATCATCCTGCGTTTCTTTCGGCTTTTGCAAGCAAGGAGTTTGCAAAGATTCGCTTGTTCACGTCTCCCAATGAGATGAACGCGCTCTCAGCAGCCTCCGGCTTTGCGCAGGTCACAGGCAAGCCCGCTGCTGTCTTAGTCCACGTAGAATGTGGCACTCAGGGCCTTGCTGGAGCAATACATAATGTCAGCAAAGGAAGGATACCCGTCATGATTTTGGCAGGCACTGTCCCAGTAACGATGGAGGGTGAGATGAAGGGAAGCCGCAACGAGTAAGTAGTCCATCTCATGATACTTACCAAATCTATGACACAAAGCTCATACTTTATACTTAGATATATTCACTGGATCCAGGATGTTCCGGATCAGCGTGCTATTGTTCGCCAATACATGC